ATCCTACACCAAAATAATGGGTGCTAATGTTTCAGATGCACATAGAATATTTTCCAAGGTAGATCACATCTGATCCCACAAAACAAGTCATAGTGAATTTGCAATTAGTAAAATAATATAGAACTTGTCCACTGATAACAAAAATAAATTAGTAATCTGTAAAAGATAGAAATCAAAATACCAAAATATTTGAAAATTAAACAATATATTTCTGAATCAACTATGGACCAAAGAAAGAATCATAAGAAAATGTTTTGAAAAAAAATTAAAATGTGATGTGTTCAAAGATGTGGGTTGCAGTTAGGATAAAAAGAGCATTTCCCAATTTATGAACTAAGCTTCCCACAGTAACAAACTAAAAAGTAAAGAAATTTTACACTAGCAAAGGAAAAACAATAATTTTTAAATGTAAAAATTAATAAAATAGAAAAAAGTCACAATAGAATTAATAAAACCAAAAGTTCATTGTTTGAAAAGATTAATATATTAGATAAATTTTCTAGTAGAATTATCAGGAAAAGAAAAACGAAGAAATAACAAGGTAATATTATCAAGAATGATAGAGGAAGATATTATTAGAGATCCTAAGAGAATTTAAAGTATAATAAGAAAATATTATAAATAATTCTTTGGTATTATATTTCACAATTTAATGAAATGGACAATTTTTTTAAAGCATCTACTATTGAAGTTTGCTAAAGAAGAGATAGATAACTTGAATAGTCATAAATCTATAACACAACTTGAATTCATAGTAAAAAACAAATTCTATAAAAGATACGTGAGGCCCAGATAGTTTAATCGAGAAATTTTGTGAAACATTTCGTGAGAAATAATACCAATTCAAAATCTTTCCGAAAATAGAGAAGCAGAGACTTTCCATGAGGATATAATTATTGTGATACCAAAACCAAAGGTATTACAAGTAAGAAAAAAAATACTACAGACCAACATCTTCCATGAATATATGCAAAAATTTCAAGCAAAATGTTTGTAAGTCAAATTTGAAAATACATAAATATATATTGTGACCATATGGATTTTATCCTGGAAATACAAATTGGATATAGCATTTTAATATCAATTAATTTAATTCACCATATTTACAAACTAAAAAGAAAGCAGCATTTGATCACCTCAATAGACACAGACAGTTTTGGCACAATTTAGCTCTAATAACAATAAAAAGCAGTGGGTAAACAGGAATAAAGATAGTTTCTTCAACCTAACAAAAGACATGCTTGAAAAATTCTATAGCTTATGTCAAAATAATGGTAAACTGTGATTATGCTCATCCTAAAATCAACAAGAAGGCCCTTGTTAGCTGTATTCCTAGGTATTTTATTCTCTTTGCAGAAATTGTGAATTGGAGTTCACTCATGATTTGGCTCTCTGTGTGTCTGTTATTGGTGTATAGGAATGCTAGTGATTTTTGCACATTTATTTCATATCCTGAGACTTTGCTGAAGTTGTTTATCATCTTCAGGTCATTTTGGGCTGAGACAATGGTGTCTTCTAAATAGGCAATCATGTCATCTGTAAATAGAGACAATCTGACTTCCTCCATTCCTAATTGAATATTCTTTATTTACTTTTCTTGCCTTATTGCTCTGGCCAGAACTCCCAATACCATGTTGAATAGGATTGGTGAGAGAAGACATCCTTGTCCAGTGCCAGTTTTCAAAGGGAATGCTTCCAGTTATTGCCCATTCAGTATTATTTTGGCTATGGGTTTGTCATAAATAGCTTTTATTATTTTAAGATACATTCCACCAATACTTAGTTTATTGAGAGTTTTAGCATAAACAGCTGTTGAATTTTGTAAAAGGCCTTCTCTGCATCTATGGAGATAATCATGTGTTTATTGTCTTTGGTTCTGTTTACATGATGTATTACATTTATAGATTTGTATATGTTGAGCCAGCCTTGCATCCCTGGGATGAAGCTGACTTGATGGTGATGAATGAGCTATTGGATTCTCTTTGCCAGTATTTTATTGAAAATTTTCACATCAATGTTTATCATGGATATTGGCCTGATATTTCCTTTTATACTTGTATCTCTACCAGGTTTAATATCATTGGCCTTCTTCACATAACTGAAAAAAAAACCTTAAACTTCATATGGAACCAAAAAAGAGCCCACATAGCCACAACAATCCTAAGCAAAAAGGACAAAGCTGGAAGCATCAGGCTACCTGACTTCTAACCATACTACAAGGCTACAGTAATCAAAACAGCATGATACTAGTACCAAAACAGAGATATAGACCAGTGGAATAGAACAGAGGCCTCAGGAGTAATGCCATACATCTACAACCATCTGATCTTCAGCAAACCTGATAAAAACAAACAGTGGGAAAAAGATTCCCTGTTTAATAAATGGTGTTGGGAAAACTGGCTAGCCATGTGCAGAAAGAAGAAACTGGATTCCTTCCTTACACCTTAAGCAAAAATTAACTCCAGATGGACTAAAGATTTAAACATAAGACCTAACACCATAAAAACTCAAGAAGAAAACCTAGGCAATACCATTCAGGACATAGGCATACACAAGGAGTTCATGACTAAAACACCAAAAGCAATGGCAACAAAAGCCAAATTAGACAAATGGGATCTAATTACACTTAAGAGCTTCTGCAGAGCAAAAGAAACTATCATTAGAGTAAACTGGCAACCAACGGGGAAAAAATGTTTGCAATCTTCCCATCTGACAAAGGGCTAATATTCAGAATCTACAAAGAACTAAAACAAATTTAGAAGAAAAAAAAAACCCCCATCCAAAAGTGGGTGAAGGATATGAAGAGACACTTTTCAAAAGAAGACATTTATGTGGCCAACAAACATGAAAAATGGCTCATCACTGGTCGTTAGAGAAATGCAAATCAAAACCACATTGAGATACCACCTCATGCCAGTTAGAATGGCGATCACTAAAAAATAAGGAGACAACAGATGCTAGAGAGGATGTGGAGACATAGGAACACTTTTACACTGTTGGTGGGAGTGTAAATTAGTGCAACCATTGTGGAAGACAGTGTGGCAATTCCTCAAGGATCTAGAACCAGAAATACCATTTGACCCAGCAATCCCATTGCTCGGTATATATCCAAAAGATTATAAGTCATTCTATTATAAAGACACATGCACACGTATGCTCATTATGCCACTGTTTATGATAGCAAAGACTTGGAACCAACCCAAATGCCCATGAATGATAGACTAGATAAAGAAAATATGGCACATACACACCATGGAATACTATGCAGCCATCAAAAAGGATGAGTTCATGCCCTTTGCAGTGACAGGGATGAAGCTGGAAACCATCATTCTCAGCAACCTGACCCAAGAACAGAAAACCAAACACCACATTTTCTCACTCATAAGTGGTTGCTGAAAAATGAGAACACACGGACACAGGGAAGGGAACATCACACACCAGGGCCTGTTGGTGGGTGGGAGAGCTAGGGGAGGGATAGCAGGGGGTGAGGGAATTGGGGAGGGATAACATTAGGAGAAATACCTAATGTAGATGATGGGGGGACGGATGCAGCAAACCACCATGGCATGTGTATACCTATGCAACAATCTTGTACCATCTGCACAGGTACCACAGAACTTAAAATATGATAATTATAAAAAAGAAGGCAAAGGTGTTGCTTCTCATACTATCTTCTCTACATTTTACCAAAAACCTTAGTGCAGTAAGATGAGAAAAACAAGTACCAATTGAAAACGAAGTGGTAATCCTATCTTTATTTTAAAAAACACGTAATTGTCCATGTAGATAATTCTAATTCAACTCCGAAAGAAAAAGAAAACAAAACAAAAACTATTAAAACCAACAATTGAGTTTGGCAGTGTTAGTGGATAAACTCAATAGAGAGAAATTAGTTCTATTTTAAATGTGGAGAGACTGAAAATTTTAAAATATTCATATAGTTTAAAATAGTATCATTAGACATTAGGTATTAAAAAGTAAGTTTGAGTGACACTGTAAATTACCTATCCCCTGAAATCTATAACACATTTCTAAGATAATTTAAAGACAAAAATCATTGCAGAGATATATCATGTCTTTGATTGGAAAAATCAATATGTGTAATATGTTAATTTTATGTAAGATTTTGATTGTGATGACATGCATTTGATGTATATACACCCGTGAATCCAACACTATAATCAGAATTAACCTTTCTGTCAACACCAAAACTTTTCTAATGCTTTTTATCACAGGATCTTTCATATGTCACTTCACCAGCTGGAAACCTCTTTGGCTGGTAGTTCCCTGCATAAATTCTGCTTGCACCCACTGGGCTTGTTCCTCCCACTTGGCCCACCAGGCTGCCTCAGTTTGCACCACTAGGCCAGATTCTTTTGCCCTTCAACTGTGTACCAGACATAGAGCAACAAAGGGTGTACGAGCATCTGAAGTGGCGTATGAGCAAGCAAGTATGGGGTCTTGGCCTGTCTACAGCCAGGCGTGTTGGCAGTTGTAGGGGGCCAGACAGCTGAGGGTGCCAGCACAGGTGTCGGATTTGTGCAAGACTGTGGCTGAACTAGGTATACCACAAGTGGATTTGGCAGCGGGTGCCAGCATCTGGACAAGGGTAATGCGGTGGTGCCTAAAAACTCAGAGACGCCAGCAGCCATGAAGCCCCAAGGGGTGGGGAGGGAATGTTACAGCTCTCTCATTCCTGCCGCCCACAGCTCATCGAATTGTGGGGGTAGGGGAGACATGTTTTCAGCTTGTTTAGTCCCACAGCCTCACTCTAGCCCAGGGCTCCCAGGCTGGCCTGGCCCTGCCACCACTTCTTGTCAGGTGGAAGTTCCGGAGTCAGAACTGTAATACTATATCCCTCCTTCCCTCCTCCAATGACAGGTGGAAGTGACCTTACAATTCAAAAATGATAATTAGAACAATCCAATAAAACTGAACCATATATTTGAACAGATGCTTCACCCAACAAGGCATATAGATGAAAATTAGTATGTGAAAAGATACTCAACATCTTTACTCAATAGGGACATACAAACTAAATCATTGATATGATACCATTTAATACACTGTAGAATGGCTCCAATGTCATTTCCACCTGACATTGGAGGAGGGAAGGAGGGATATAGTATTACAGTTCTGACTCCGGGATTCCCGGGGTCTGGGCCCCGAGACGTTTGGCAAATGGGAGCTTGGAGAGCTCACCGGGAACATGTTACAGCTCCTTTCAGTCTTACCTGCAGCTTGGTGATCCATTCAGGAAGGTGTTACAGCCCTTTTTGCACCTGCTGTTCGGTGGGTCCCAAGTTCATGTCCTGTGTCCAGGAAGAATGAAGACATAGTCAACTGAAGGGTGAGCAAGGTGGAGAAGAGGTTTTTTGTTTTTTGTTTTTGTTGTTGTTTGTTTTTTTGTTTTGTTGTTGTTTGTTTTTTTTTAGATGAAGTCTTACTCTGTCACCCAGCACCCAGGCTGGAGTGCAGGGGCGCAATCTTGGCTAACGGCAACCTCCTCCTCAATCTCCCAAGTAGCTGGGACTACAGGTGTACACCACCAAGCCAGGCTAATTTTTGTAATTTTAGTAGAGATGGGGTTTCACCATATTCGTCAGGTTGGTATTGAACTTCTGACTTCTTGATCTGCCCACCTCCACCTCTCATAGTACTGGGATTATAGGAAGAAGAATTTTATTGAGTGCCAGAACAGCTTTCAGCAGATAAATGATCTGAAGCTGGTAGCTCCTACCCACAGGCAGGTAGCAGTGATCTGTGGCCGAATCCGTGATTTTTTATGGGCTAAGAATGGAGAAAGTACATGCTGATTGGTCCATGGGTTGGTCTGGAAGAAGAACCCTTTGATTGGTTGAAAGGCATCAAGAAAGTTCTTACTTTGGATGGTGGATTCTATTTTGAACTGGCAGCCCAGTTTTCAGGCGTCAGGCACTGGCTTGAAGGTTGGGTTTCACCAGGGACCCTCCCCTATCTGCGTAAGAATTTGTCTGTCTCCTGCCACTACCACTATTATAAAACATACCTTCCTCCAACTACATATGCAGGGAACCACTGATTACTTTCTGTCAATATTATGTATTCTCTAGAAGTGTAATAAAGCGAATCATACAGTATGCGTTCATTTTGCCCAGCTTTTTTATTCAACATACTTATTTCAAGATTCAGCCACACTGATACATGTAACAGAAACGTGGTTTTTCTTTTTTTCTATTTATTGCTGAGTAGCAGTCCGCTCTATGGGTATATTAAAATTTTTAGCCATTTTGTTGTTAATGAGTTGTTGATGTACAACTTATTTGGCTCTTACAAAGTTGCTATGAACGTTCATGTACAGATTATTGTGTGAACATATGTTTTTGTTTCCTGGCATAGACACCTAGGAATGAAATGGAGTGGTTCTATGGAAGAGAAAATTTAAATATTCAAGGAATTCCAAACATTTTTCCCAAGAGGATTTATCGGTATTCATTCCCAGCACAAATATGATGGAATTGCTCCACGTGCCCACAACACTTGGTCTAGAGATTCTTTTTATGATAGCCATTCTACAGTGTATTAAATGGTATCATATCAATGATTTAGTTTGTATGTCCCTATTGAGTAAAGATGTTGAGTATCTTTTCACATACTAATTTTCATCTATATGTCTTGTTGGGTGAAGCATCTGTTCAAATATATGGTTCATTTTTATTGGATTGTTCTAATTATCATTTTTGAATTGTAAGGTTTTGTTTTGTATTATGAACACAGATCTTTAGTTAGACGTATATTTGAAAATATTTTCTCCCATACTGTGACTTGCCTTTTCTTTTTCTGCACATAGATCTGGAGATAGGGAGTTGATAATTTTGATGCAGAATTTATTTAATGCTTTGCAGTTCAAGAAGTTGTAACTTTATTAAAGAAATTATTGACAACTGAATATTACACTAATTTTGTCCCATTTTTCCTTGTAGATTTATAATTTTAGCTCTAATGTTTAGTGTACATTTTAATTCTTGTATAAGGTATAAGGTAGTAAAAGAGTACTTTTTTTACTGATGGCTAGACAATTGTTTCATTATCATTTCTTGAAGATATTTTTCCCCATGGATTCTGAAGAAAAATATATGCACATTAAAATTTTTGTAATTCTTCTGAATACTATAAGTCCACAATCAGAAGTTTTAATTAAGAGATAGCTGTGCATGGTGGCTCACACCTGTATCCCAGCTACTTGGGAGGCAAAGGCTTGAAGCCAGCAGTTGGAGACCAGACTGGAAAAAATGGACTTTGTCTCTGAAAAAAATAAAAATAAATTTATCAGATGTAGCGCTGTGTATCTGTAGTCCTAGCTACTGGGGAAGCTGGGGCCAGGGGATTGTGTAAGTCCAGTATTTACTGGGTATAGTGAGCTATGATTGTACCACTGTGCTCTGGTCTTGGTGACAGAGCAAGACTCTTTCTAAAAAATAAAAACATAAAAAAACTACATACAAAACATATTATTTATCTTAAGTAAAACTTAAAGGGGAAAAAGATATGTGCTGGCATATATCTAAGAGAAGACAACTGTTTGACCACTTTACAGCATACTATGAAACAAAAGAAAACCAGTAAACCAACAAAGACAAGATATGAAAATGGCAGTAACAGGGTATTTTGTACATAATATGCTCACATATTATTTGTACGGTTTTTGTCTGTTTCTCATCATGCACGTAAAATTTGACATTTTTCAAGCTATGTAATGTCCTGATAAATTTTAAATTTTAAATAAAAATAAAACACCTTAGCTATGGGATTGGTAACTTTCTGTTTCTTAATTTGATGACATAATAAAATATCACATATATGGTTGACAGTGTTCTCTTGAAGTGATAAGCAGAATATTTCCCTTTGATTTATAATGCTAATAGAAAATTACAATGCTCCTTAATTATAGTAAGGACAGTGTAAAGTCACATTACTGAATACAGTTGTAGAAGGAAGCAGCATCATGTTTTATAATAAATTGTGAATTAATTTTATATACTTAAAACAGTTTTCTAATTGCAACTAGTTTCCATTTCTTTAAATATAAATGTTATATCTTTGAGTTATTTTCATTAATTTTTTAAGAAAACACTAAAGTCTATAAACAAAACTGAGATCATTTCACTTTTTAAGCTAATCTGTGTTTCATGTTAAATTGCCTTGATTCAGACAATCATAATCTAGTCCACATACTGTGAGATTAACATAATGAATAGTGTCAGACAAAAAAAATTAATAGGCAGTGTTAATTCTATGTATAAAATTATCCTAAGAAGCTTAATTATGTACTATAATGTCTCTTCTTTTGCTATTTCCTTTATCGATTTTTATAATGAGCTAACTGTATATTAACTTGTCATTAATTATTTTTATAGTATAAAAAGAGAAATTGTCAAACTTTCATTCTACAGCATTGAATATAAAGATAACAATGGCATTGTCTTGCCATTATTGTGTTCTGGCCAGATGTGTTTAAAATACCGACAGAACTCTGAAAATGTGAGATGACAGTGGATATACATGTAGCACGGCATTTTCAATTAGTATTTTAATTATGCTTTGTGAAATCTTGTGATACTTTTTTATTTCCTAAAAATAAATTAGATAAATCTCATCAGAATTATCTACTCCTAAGGATAGCCATTTATATGATAAACCACTTTGATCTACAACTGCATTACAAAAAACCAATTGTCTCATGCTGTTCGTGGAAGTCGGTAATAGGACACAGACTGTGATGCTATTAAAGCAATTCACTGACAGAATATTAGAATGTCTACTAAAATATCACAAATGAGTACCAGATTTTATATTGTACTGGTAGATGCCATAACACTATAGGGTTTGCTTCTGTTCGACTATTTTTCCAGTAAATAATATTATTAATGTAGTCATGTTTCTTGTCTAACACAATCCAAGTTTTGTCCCAAATTATAGCATTGCAGTTATCACAGTAAAATAAACTTTCTTTCCATTCAGGAAATGGCTTGATACTTCTATATGGTTTTCAAACTGGAAATATTTTGTTAACCTTGTATTTATAATATCCAAGGGCTAAGTATTAAAACACAGTAATGTTGTTAAAGTGTATAAAAACATGTCAAGACTCAAAGCAGCAATTTTGTTTTTACTGTTACAAATTTAAGTAGAACAAAATGAATATTTAAACAAAGATATTGCTTTACATGATCATGACAATGTTCTTTCTAAAATCAAAGTATATTTACTATCTCACTTATTAGAGAACTTTTACTATTCCTCCACCACTTCTTCCATCATACTCCTGCCTAACCTGAAACTAACAGAAGTAGAGTTTTCACTGTGGTTTATAATATACCAGTGCGTAAAACTACCACATCCACTTCTAATGGCAGGTGCGCTGGTAAATACTTTTTAGGCATTTCCAGATATTGTTCATTTTAGCTCTCAACTCACTTACTAGCTAGTTCAGCATGCTAGACACATCACCAAGCTTGGCTTTTGTCTTTTTTATTTATGTTTCATGACTTATTACGTCTTTTATTCATTCATTGATTTACTTATTCAACTTTCAATGTGCTAATATGCAAGAAACAATGTGCGATTCAAAGACGATTCAAACTATTTTCCTTCATTAAGATATTTACAGTGTATTATGAAAGATAAGATAGGAACTGGGCCAATTTTCCTAGAATAAAACTACCACAAGATTGGTATATACTGGCTACTAATATATTGAGATGAAGACAGTTTAACACCAGTGATGGATATGCTAGACGTATCAACAGTTATAGTTACTTAACTACATCAACAATTTTACTGATTTTAAATGTGAAAAAACTAAACGATTAACATTAAATTGTTTTTTGTACAAGCAAGCTGAGTTACTGAACTTGTATTAAAGAATTTTTACACTATTGGTTAGCCACTATACTAAAAAAAAAACCCTTACTTTTTTTTGGTGATAACAGAAATATTTCTATGATGCTTAGATTGTGAAATGCTATCAGGTCTTAAAATTTTAGTGTTATTAAATTCGTGGTAAAATTATTATTATTAATTATAGGTTAGCTATGTAAAGTTAAATAGTTGGGGTCTTTGATTTTTATTGAAAGAGCTTTTTCTAAAATCAATAAGAATAATTTGAAAAAATAGATAAATATGTAGAAATGAGGTGCAAAGCAGTAAAGATCACAGTGCATTCCATTGGAAGATGATCAAGTTTAGTTTCATGGGCATAGCGGAAAGTTGTTACTTTTGGTATCCATAATCTACAAAATAATAGCCTTTGGTCATTTTGAACACTATCAGC